CACACACACACACACACACACACACACATTACACCACCCGTGGCAACAGTTAGACATAGTTCCAGCAGCTGTAAAGTTTTACTTTCCGTTCGGCCACCAAATTGGTGCGAGTCATATGTATCATCCCCAGTACTCTATGATGCCCAGTTTTATGCGAAGAGATTAAACAAATTGCCAAAACTGCACATCAAGGCTCGCATCGGCATGAATATCAGGATATGCCACTTTTTATACGCCGCTGTCAACGAATACAGAGCCGCTAGTGTAGGTCGCCTTTAAGTCGATGACCCGCGCTTTACATTTTAAGAACAAACGTGTTTCTCCTCCTTGTACCACCAAGGATGCAGAGGAATTCGTCGCGATTATATTTCCACTTATTTTTGTGCTACCATCATTTGTTACGTTGACAGAAGGCGGTGTGAGCACGGCAGTCCTGGGACCTCTGTAGTGGTGTGAGCTGTAAGGGCAGCACTTGGTGTTACTTTAGCGATAAAATGATCGAGGAGCCAATGTGTGCTTAGGTTCCTTCGAGACCACAGACAGTACAAAGCTAACATTCATCTTTCTGTGTGCGTCCGTGTCTGTGTGCGTGTGATTGAGACAGACTTTTGACAGCTTAGGGGACCAGTGCACCACAGGGAGCATCCTTGCAACATGCTGTACATGAGAACATACAAGATTCCCTTTGTGTTCGTGTTCATGCTTTGCGCAACAATGCCACTAAACAGATAGACAAGTTGCTTAAGAAAGATCATTGAAATATGACAATGCGGTTGTGTGCTTTAACCCCACTTGGAGTGGACTTCCAAAGTTAGATCCAACTGTGGCCTGGCAGGGAGCTCAGTGGAGTGTTATGCGTTTTTAACGTGGTGTCAGGCAGCTGCACGCAGCTGGAGACTCAAACTTCAAGTAGAACTGAAGGGAAGACTGCAGGGATCCAGCATGGGCCCACAAAAAGACTTTTGTGACCCATCTTAAAATGAACTTGATTTAGTTCAGAATTCTATCAACTCCACCAAGTAGGTTAAAGTTGGAACATTTTTTTCTCAGAGGGGCAAGGTTTGAATGTAGCTAAATTTCAGCAATGGCCCTTAAGTCTCTGACCACAGTCGCATCCATCACTAACGTGCGCTGGGCGATTCAAGGATCAGAGGTTTTTACAGTTTGGTACATTTTAACGCAAATGTAACTATCTCTCTCTGCGTGTCCTAATAGTTGTTCAACAGCCGTGCATCACTTGTCAATAGCACATTGGCTTTTGAACCAAGACGTGCACATGACATAACAGCTAGCTAGCTTCCCTCAATCCATATCAAACAGAAGGACAATGGCACTGTCTCTGACTCCCTGAAACATTTTGTATATCACTGGAAGGCATGATACTTTGTGTCAAAGACAGGTGGGAGAGGAAAAATTTGTGTGAAACAGGCTGTTTTTGAGGTAAGGTGTCGGATGCTGAATTTTTCTTGTTACAATGTTATATTTCATCGAAGTATAGCATCCACTTTGGTAACTTGTTTTAAAAGGACATTCAAATAAAAACATCTTTGACATTTTAGAGGAGCTGGGATTCAATTTAAGGGTTTTTGACCACCCCCAAAAGTATATCAAATTACTAGCAAGCAAATGTTTTCTGAGGCTGCTATTATGGTAGCGTGATATATTCATCATGGGGAGTTACGACTACACTAAATGGTATCTTTGCTTTTGTTTGGGGAGTGAGTGTCACGTTTTGCGTGGTGGTAGTGCAGTTGGAGTACCCCAAAAAGCAGGGAGGAGCAGAGTGGAGTGACCAAGATGTATATAACAAAAACACTAACTCGAAGTACTCAAACAAAGTCATGGAAATCACAAGGAAGCCAACGTAACAAAAGAAAGCCATGACAGAAAACAAAACATGACAGGAGCGGAGCACACAGGAACTCACATATCGCACACAATGACCCAACAAAGACTGACACAACTCAGGGAACTAAATACAAGCAAAGTGGCGAGACAACGAGAAACACCTGGACAGGACCCAAAGGGTTGAGGGAGCTGATTGGTTAAACACAAGGGACACTGATGACGAGAACAGGTGGCGACAAAAAGGGCACATGAGGAAACAAAACCAAACGTAACCAGACAGAAATATAACAGTGAGCCTTTTTTGGATATTCTGCCATAGTTTCAGTCACGCTCACAAAGACCGTTGATGGTTGTAAAAGGTCTGGAAAAAAAGTCCTTTTAACAGAACTGTACCCTTGACATGCATATTATCTCGATTCATTTGGGGAGGATGGATTCTCCGCTTCGTGATGTTTTTTTGTCATTGTCACTGCTGTCCAAGTATAACACGGATGTGCAACTGCAGAGAGAATGCATTAAAAATGGGCCAGGTTAGATGAGGAATGATGCTGGTTAACCTTCGCCTGCGACGCTGCGATATTGTTCACAAAGTTCTCTAGACCTGGACACGTGACACAGAGCACACCTGCCTTATCTTTTCTTGAATATTCTTCCTGCCGCTCCCACTTCCACCCTGGCTCAGTTTTTTGGTTTGTTTGTTTGTTTTTCCCCTCACAACATGACCCTGATGGTTTGAGTGCCCTGGAGCCTTTCTGGATTAAAAACAGGATGAAATTGGTGGCGATGTCATACACACTGGTCTTCATTGTTTCTTCATTGGGAGCGCAGGATCCGGTTTTCTCTCTTTGCACATCTGCCTAGAAACATCTGGACAGAGTCAACCTTACAACATTGAGCAGAGCGACCATTACTCTTCTCTTCTCGCCCTTTAGGCAGTTATAAAAAAGAAAAAAGAAAACAAAAACAAATCATCTTTATTAACATATTTCACCCTAGAGGGGCCAGGATGAAAGGAGACAAAATGCTTCTTTCTTTGGGATTGAGTTATTGGACGTGGCAGCAGGGTTGTCGGGTGTAGGGAGAGCTGCTCAATTGGGAAACTCATGAACAAAACAGCCAAGTTCTCGGGACAATTGTGTGATCTCAGGTGCACGGCAGCCACATAACTAATGATTCTGAACACAATAGTCCCGTTGAGTGTTCACTGAAGTGGTGTGGTGCAGTACTTCTGTCCAAATAATTGTTTTTACACGCTGAGACTGTAATTAAACCTCGATCAACTGTAAATTATATTGTATCTTCATTTGAGTATTACAAAATATGTATTCTGACAGATACTGTACCTCTGAATACAGTAACTCGAGATTAGCCTGACAATGTTTTGGGTTTCCTGATTTTTTTTTTTTTTTTTAATCGCTGTTCACATCGTTAAATTTAATTCAATTAGTAGGTAAAGGACGTCATACTAAATACTTTTCGTGAAAAGAAATTAAATTCCATGTCCAGATATTAGAGAGCAAAAGCTATTGCTTTCAAACCTTTCTTTGCGTTTTTAATCCATAACTCACGAAAGCCTAAAAAAAAAAGCAAGTGGCACACTAATTTGAGATGCAGCTATTGATCACCAACAAAATCCTTTCGCTGGATTAATTTAACATTTTCATGATTTTTTTGCTGATTCTAATGCCAGTCTTGATCATTGTCTAATATCTCAGTCTCTTTGCACTTGAAAAGGTGCACAGGGTCAGTTCCAAGTGTAAAAACTGAAGCTTCTACTGGAATACCAAGTTACGGATTATTTCGTCGTTTCTATGATTATCGTGGATCGTGCAGTGTTTATTGACAGCAAGAACAATCATCTCATGCCACCAATTTAAATTGCAACATGTATAATGTTTGTCAACACTGTGTGTAATTTATGTGGGAAAATAAATATTCAGAATAAAACACAGAACCAGGTCTAACATCACTACTTTTTTGGAAAATATTTTGAGAATATTTATTATAAAAATATAAATGTTTCCACTACAAATCCTTTTACATTAGTTGACAAGGCCATCTACGTTCGAACACGTAAACTCACACAAACACACGGGTCAGTCTTGAGACAGAAAAGAAGGATTCTGGATATGGGGTGCATAACAGTATTGCTCTCTCAGATGTCCCAGGTTGATAAAATAAGTCAAAAACAAAACTCAGGTAACACTGACATATAATTTACTGTAAGCTTAAAAAAACAAAAAACAAAAAAAAAAAAACGACGACAAAAAATACTGTGCTGTGTAATGTTAACAAATAAATAATTATGTAACAACAATTGCGTTTTTATTGTAGAAAATAAAAACAGGCTGACAAATACAATTCAAAACAAGATAAAGTATAATACAGATGCTTTTCGATTTTTTTTTCATTAAAATTGCTGCACAATTTGTAACCTTTTTTTTTTTTATACATACAAAAATTTGTACAAAGAAGGATGGCATGTACATATTGCAGAATCTGTCGGGCTAGTTGCTATATCGTTATGATGGTTTACATTATGTACAGATCACATAGCAGCAACAGCAGCATCCACAGGTCGAACACTGGCTATACCGATACCATGAACAGATCTGGCTTTTCCCAAAAAGCACAAACGTCTTCTTCTGTTCATTGGTTCAATTTAATCTCCAGCCAAGCCAAAAAAAATTCCTAGGTCAAGGAAAGTGCTGACACATTGTGTACTAAGTGCATTTCGAGTGCACCCTAGTAGTTGAATGTTTCTTATCCAAAAGTATCGAGTAGTAGCAGTTCATAATATTGGTCACGAGTCACAGACCAGAATCCATGCAGATGTACCTCGATACTGTGGACTATCCAAATCTAGGGTGCATTCAGGGAATCCCTTTCTGGACATATGTATTTGGATCTCATATTAGCAGTTTGAAGGAAAACTTCACACTTTGTATATGGTGGTGGTGCAAAATCCTATTGGGTTAAACCAAAACAGGAGTGTTTGCAAGGTGATCCCAGCGTGACCCAACCACATGAGGCACTCAACATCCACCAGCACCCTCCCCCGGATCGACAGCTTGTTCAAGAGAAATGCTTTACAGTATTCCCTTGGCTTCTGTTAAACGTGTTGTCAGACTAAAGACAGGAGACCATTATGCATTCTTATATCACAATCACAGTTTCTGTGTTGCTCTCCATTTAAGACGGGCATACTCTGTTGGATTTATTGTCGGTGCTGAATTTTAACGTGCGCTCTGTGAGCACATAGCCTTAGATGGAAGGCCACAACTTGCACATTTTTGGGGTCACTGTTGTTCTATTTCAGTCCTGTCTGAGAGTCCATTTTAAAGCGCAGCAGACTGTCAAAAACAAACCAAGAGAAAGCGTTGTCTTTTCATTCGCAGAAATATTGATGCTAAAAGCAAAGCTAACAATAATTATGCTTCCCTTGTCATTTGGTTTTGACGCGGTTTGTACGTAGCCTACTGTTCATCTACCTTTTGCAAGATCAAATTGTAACAGTCTCGAGGAAAACGGTCACGGCATAGCAAATTTCAATTCATCAGATCATCGTGCGATGAGGCCCTACCCGACTAGAAACGGCGCTATATTCCTACATTGCCTGACTCAGAATCGGGTAAACAAAATGCTTACATTTTCACTGTTTTCACTGCATGCCCATCTTTACGCACTCAAGAATGTGAGCTGCTGAATGAAACTTTTCTTTCCCAGAAAAATAAACTCAAGTACAATTACACATGGAGTGCAAAACCTCCATTAAACAATAATATTATCTGAAGGAGAGTTGTGGAAAAACACAGCTTCGTCTTTTACGTCTCATTTCCAACTTAACAATTTCTCACTCTCGTCTCTCTTACCGTGCACTCTCAATTTTTCCTGCTTGGGTTCGCTCTGTTCACTTCATCTGTTTCCGCGTGTTAGAGAAAATATAGATCAAATGACGTGCGCATCCTGAGATTTCACACAAAAGGTTGCCGGGTTGCAGGAACAGCACTATAGCGTTACAACATCTGCTTGTATCATATTGAACTTACGTTTGTCATATAAAGAGTGTGAAGTATGTTATTGCTCCTGCGCCTTCAAAGCTTACTGTTCAATCCACTGGGAGTGTAGCATGGTTATGGCTTTCGAACGATGCACGCTCATCTCTGACTATCATAATTATTGCTTTTATGTGACAGGTCTACGGAATCCTAACGATCACAACAGATTTGCTTTCATCCATGGGTAGTTGCAAAAGAATCTCAAGACTTCATCAGTCCAGGAAGGGTCCACACTGGATCAGATGCTGCTGCTGTCCTCCATGACGTGTCACACAGGGCAGTTGAGCCACGCCGTTGTCGTGCTCTGCACAGGTGGCCGATCAGCTCTGTTGGGAGGAGCCACCAAGCACCCCAGGCTGGCAGGATATGGACGGAAGCGCCGCCCACCTTGACTGCTACCTGGAGCTGCTGCTTTGACCTTTGTTCGCCCGTTTATCCCAGTCCAGCCAACTTGTCTCTATCCCTGACCAGTTCTGCTCGGCTGTTTTAGTTCTCATATGCATCGTTAAAACCCAACCCTGAGCCACTCTTTGTGTCTGTAAGGCATCTCAGCTGGATCACGGGACAACGGGGAGTTCAGCAGTCAGCCAGTTGACTGGTTTGCTATTCTGGGCTCTTCCCATTTCTCTGCCAAGACTTTATGCGTCAAATAAAAGCCCCTTATTTCTTGAATTCCCTATGAGTCATCTGCCATCGTCACTATGGATACACAGTGTGTCATAGCAAGCAATTAGCTCCAACAATCTGCTGATGCACCAACGGGGTGGTTTTCCTCTGGTGGCCTCTTCTTTTTAAACAGGTACTGGACCGTTCTTGGTGTGAGATTCGAGGGCTTTGAGGCTGCTCACGATCTTCTTCTGAGGTCCTGCAATTGTCACTCCAACCTTTTTCAAATCCCTAGTGAGAAGGAAATGCAGTACAAAGAAGAGAAGCAAGGAAGAGAGAGAAAAGAAGGACGGATGGGGAGGTCATTTACCAGACAGAGTGACAGAGCGGGACATGACAGAGGGGAAGATTGGGAGAAAAGAGATAGAAAGTGTGCATTAGTGATGAAGGATGTGACATCCTCGTGACATTTAATGACATGCTCCCAGCACGGCTCCCTTCACTTTCCCATGCATCTGCCATTCACACCGGACTGCATTTCCCACAAGGCCAGCGAGCTGCCACCGCTCAGAATGAGCATATCCTCGACTCTCCATCCCTAATAATCAACAATATAGGCCTGGGGCGATACACTGACAGTTGCAGTTATGACCTGTCAGTGGAAGAAACAATCACATGCAACGGTCTGGTTTCCTGCACTGAAATGAATTGGATTTGATCTATCAGGCAGGTGGGAATATGGGGGAAAGGAGCACCACTGGTACATGAAATATAATTAAACATGCAATTAAACCAACGCTATTCGTTTAGGAAGAAAAGTTGCTCGTTAAGAGCGACCGCTTCACTTCGATCGTAGGTTTGGATCAGCAACTGAAAGACAGCGTAGCCTGTGCATTTGGAAAACGCATTCATGAACTCACTAATCTGGTGAGTACACTTAAATACAGTATTAGTAGAAGCAGAGAAGTCGCAGTCCAAGTGATGGCATCACAAGAACCTATTTTCTGTCTTTTTTGTTGTTGTTGTCAGTTAAGTGTAATGAGAAATAGTTCGTTATGGAAGCAGGACACTTGTTTTGCAAAGCAGCAGACTTTAAGAAAGACATTGCTTCAATCCGTGCTTGAACACAAAAGGACAGGTTACATATAATGGGATGTATCAGGTTTGCAGTAAAAAAAACAAACAAACAATCAAACACTACAAATAAAGGAGTTGCAGGAACAAGCAGCATTAGTTTGCAAAAAGGAAGATAGCTTGGTTTCCATCCACACTATAGTAATACTTTTCTAAAACAAGCATATCAGTTGACTGGTATTCATAGTCAATTGCTCGCCACTCGTTTGCTTGTCACTTTGAAATATTTCAATTGACAGTGGAAAACAAAAACATGCATGTCCAAATCCTTCTTAAATTTAAGTTATTAAGCAGATGTTGTGTCAGTAATCATTTAAAGTACACTTAGAATGATTTTTTTTCAAATCAAACAACGGCTATGAACGAATCCCCCATTTATGTTCCTCATCCAATTTCCATGTTGCCATTCAAGCATTGCATTGCTATTTTTAATTGAAATTGCGTGTCACCACCCATTTGGGATCTATACATGCACATCAGTGAAACAGTTAAGAAAATGTGCACCTCAGTTGGCATGCTAAAAATAATGCAAAATGTCTCATGGTCAAGTGGTGGTAATATATTTTCATGAAGCGGACATACATGTTTGTTTGTTTTTTTAAACACATTATTTTATGCATGTTTAATTATGCATTGTGGGATGGAAACATAGCCATCAAGTTATCACTAATGATCCCCTTAAAACCCAGACGTGAAGGCCAATCAGAAGTTCTACAGATCACGTTCTGCTCCTGAGGAGGGCCTCGGCTGTGCTGCACCACCCACCATCCAGAGTCCGAGGAATCGAAAGGAGAGGAACTGCGTGTTAGAGAGTGGTGATCCCCATGGACGGCTCCCATTCTGGGCAAGTTGCTGGTGTGACGTGGACCTCTGTCAGAATCACTCTACTGAGACACAGCCACGCCCGGCAATGTTAACAAATGGAATCCCATCACTATTTGTCATGTCCTGGTTGGTATTTTTGCATAGTTTTTTTTTTCCCTTAAGGGTAATTTAACACATTGACATGTCTCAATTGCATGTACATACAAAGCAAAAAGGTGCAACATTGTCTGGCTGCAATAACAGAAAAGATGAAGTCACACAAGGAATTCAACCGTACATTCAGAATAATATAAAACGGTAAAACCTACCAGTAAAGATCATCTGTTGCCCTATGAGTTCAGGTTGTCATATTTTCTTTCAATCCAAAACCTTTAGAATGATCTCATGATCCATATGTTACCTTTCCCCAAAATCTTAATGAAGCAGGCCTGTTTGTTATTTTCTCATCAGAATAGCCAAAAGCAATGAACTCAAAAACAGGCAGCGTTGCCAAAACAATACGAAGATTTTCTATACTGTATGTATGAACCTGAGAGGTTGGATTACACTACGGCCAGAGATAGGTATCTCAAAAAAAAAAAAAAAAAAAAAAGCTGTCAAAATGTTTCCTTCTGCAGCGTTTGTGCAGACATTCCCATGACCCCAGTATAATACCTCTGCAGGATATTTGTATTTAGAATAATTAAATGTGACAACAGCACAGTGTGTACTCTCTGGACTGCTGTCGATTAACCCGATTGCCCCTTTCAGATATGAAAGCTAAACTCCGCATGAGAGGGCCAGTTTTTATATCAAGGGGAGAGAAGATCATCCTTGAGCAAAATTCAGGATGTGATCTGAAGCGGATGCTGGATAACAGCTATGATCACTTGCTATGTCCTTGGAGGGTTTGAACTTTGAAGGCTTTTCCAGATTTGCACAAGAGTACAAAGCATGTGTGGCAGGAAACTTAGAGATAAGATTATGTCCACATGTACTCAGGTGGTTTTCCCACTCCATTGTCCAAAAATATGTCTGTCCACATGCATGGAACTGAAGACATGAGAAATGTGATTCATTCTCGGCTGTCAACAATTTCTAGGACAGTTCAAAGAATTTAAAAAGTGGTCAAACAATAAGTGAAGGCCAAAAAAAAAAAGGAACCTGTTTTCCAAAATGCTCATTTTGATGTGGATGTGGCCATTGGCTAAAATTTCCCATTTCACTTTGTACAACAGATAAGAATAAAGAAACATTGATCGAGGTGTGCCCTTGAGCAAGATACCAAACCAAGTACAATGTCCGCGCGGTCTGCTTGGGCACCAATTTTCCAAGTGTTCGTTGTTTATTATTATTTTTTTGACAGTAAACTAAAAAACTGTACGTTACCTTTTTAGGATTTGTCATGAATTGTGTATCCACCCCCCAAAAAAAGTAAAAAAAAAAAACGGAACAAACCGATCTCCCAAACTGGACTGAAATTAGACCAACAGATGAGTCAGCACGTTGCAACCAAGTATGATTACTGCTCGTAGGAGGTCGGAGCACTGCCAACACTTGTGCTGACTATCAAGGACTAGATTAAGTCTGTAGGAATCAATAGAGTAATCTATATAGAGCAATGCATAGTCCCAGTCAAGGCTGCGAGTCTTGCAGCGGTGGCGGTGTTGGCCTTGGTTGCTACAGCCTCATCGTTCAGAGGATTAATACTGAAATGATCCAATTTAGCATCTGGCCACAGGGGGAAAAAAAGTGTAGCGCAATGGGATTTCTTTCGTGTAAGATTAGTCTCGTGTGGTGTGTTTTGTCATCCGCGAGTCTGCAGAGTAAGCTCTTTTGCGGGTTGTTGACTGGAGATAACTTCTCATTGATTAAACTTAGCTATTGATAGAAAAGGCATGAGACATGTCAGGATGAAACATGTACAAAATATTTTTGGATTTTTTTGTGTGCAATATCTATCAGATTATTATGGGAGTGAGGACTGTCTTTTAACCAAACTGCACCTATTCTATTTATTTGTTGATTTTTTTTTTTTTAATCAATGAACTTGTTGGCCATTGAGACAATACTTGAACACAGAAGGAGGCTGTGAAATTCAATTACACATCCTCAGTGGTACACGACTAAAACATCTGCTCTTATTTAGTCGCCACATAACTTTTGGAAAAATGTTGCTCGGCGTTTGATTTGCATTGTTTTCACAATGTACATGTGGCATTCTTGCATACCAATGGGACAACCATGTCTACATTTTGTCTTGCAAAGGCCTCCCTGGCTGCTCTTTTCACATGTCAAATTTACCCTCTCATTCCATCCATGAATAGTTTCTCTCTTCTCCAATCCCCTTGGTGGAGCTCACAATTCCCTAACAAATACATCTCCCTCAATCTCGATTTTTGTTTCTCTCTTTATCATTTTTTTCACATCCTTACCTTCTACCTTCATAGTCATATTGAGAGCATGGCGAAACGCCTGTCAAGACGGGTTACTGTGAGACCTTTAGTAATGGCTCCATAGCTTTTTTATCTTCTGATGAACAAGAGAGAACGATTGTGAGTTCTTTATCAAAGGGCTCTATAAATTCCCAGTAACGCTTGCCTCGCAATTTGGGCTCTTGCAAAGGCTGTTGACATGAATAGGCAGCGGAGCCTTGTGTGTTTGTGTCTTACTCTGTGGAAGTCTTGGCCAGGGTATCGCAGGAGCTGTAGCTGACCCCAGAGAAGGCCTCATTGCAGGGCAAGGTCCTCATTCCATCCATCCAGTCACCCATCGTCCCCACTGAGGGAACCTCTGAACTACTTCTATCCAGCAACAAGTTGGCCGGCCTATGTGGGAGACGGAAGCAAAAAAAGCAGACGGGAAAATGTGCTTGAGGAACTTTATATGGACAAATAAATAAGTACAACAGATGTGCCCCCCCCCCACGCCACCCCAATTGCATCTTGACAAAATGCAGAGAGAGAGGCAGGGACTTTTTGTGGGAGTGGAGAAGGAAGCACAGCAAAGGGCCAATGCTGGAATGAAGCTTGCCTCTTTCACTGTCCATCACCGATCAAACCTCCAAGCACACACTGGTACTCTTACTATTAATAATGGTCAAAAATAGAACGGCACTACATAGGGCACAGACCCCTGCCAAAGCAAAAAATCTTGTATCAACATCACATTTTCCATGGTCATAAATGTCTGCGAATGGAAATGCCTGATTATTTCAAGCAGGATGCAATATTAAGTGAGGAATGTTACGGGCAAAATGTTGCCGTATTTTGTGATACAGGATATCCATTTCTGGATACCCAGCTGATATCACATGGGTACTTCCTGTGCCAAGGCACAAACTGTTTGGCAACATTTTATGAAAATCAGTTAAGCGCTTGGCTACTGTTACGTAGCCTCACCTCCATTACTATCTAACAATCAGTGAAAAGCACATTTCATTGATTTGACATTTCACATCCATCAAATCAGGGGAGAGCTTTGTTTCTTTTGTCCATCAAAACTTTCCTTTTGCTTTACTCATGAGTGCAGCGTCCAAATGCTTTGGGGAACGGCTGCTTTTTCAGCCGTATTCATGCCCAGTATTGATATTCGATATTAGGCTCTTATCGAACAGCACTTAACAAGTATAATTCCCTTTTTTCCAGAAGAAAAAAAAAAAAAAGCAAAAGAACACAGTGAGAATAGCAAACATTGAGAAGAGTTTGCTGTCTCGAGAGATTTGGCTAGTGCTCGGAAACCCTCTAAAATATATTTTGCGCAATGTCTTACAGTTGAACTTTTTGAAAAGTGTTGCTTTTTAGCTGCTGAAGAAGATGGAACAGAATTATTGGCATGCTGAGAACACAGGTTGGGGAGGGGGATATGCAGGAAGAATGAAAGCCTGTTTGTCAAACACTGAATTCCCTCTGTCAGTCTATTGTTAAATTCAAATACATATCTGAATATAAAATGTTTGCATAAAAAATACAACAAAAAGGATAGATCCAGCAATGGAAAAGAAGGAACGGCATAATTTACGCAAATCTAACTGATTTTTAAAATGGTGGAAAATATCTGTATTGTTCCTAAATAGTAAGAATAAAAAACAACCCACCCCCCAGCACTTTCTGTCAAAATAAACAGTCGTGTTTTCAGTTAGGTCCATAGCGGACATTTTTTGTAGAGCACGGGGCTGCTGGTCTAACTTTGAGTTTGTCTGAGAGGGTTTTGACATTCACACATCCACAGCGATGTGTTATTGATTGATATTGATGTTGGGTTTATGTTATTTCAAATCACACTCTTGTTGGTGATTGATTAGGTGCGATTACGCACGGATTTCTCAATTTGTACATCATTCTGTAAAATGCTGGCTGTTCTGTTGTTTGTTAAAGAGGTTAACCAAAAGGCAGCTAAATATTTTCACAAAAGAGCCAAGAAAGGACATTGAAGTTAGAGGACAAGTAAAAAGACATCTAGAACAGAGAAAGGAAAAGAGGAAAATGTGAGTGGGTGGCACACTGACAGAATCTTTTCCTGCCGGATCAGAGGCACGTCAAAATAACGAATGGCCCACAGGAGCAACTGAGAAAGACTGATTTGTGAAAAAGATGGTATGTATATTTGGAAGCAACGTACGTCACTTTAAAACCAGATGTTATTAACAAAAAAGTAAAAAAACGTCAACTAATTAAAACGTCTGCCCTGACATGTTTGTTTTAAAGGAGTATTGATCATGTCTGGGTATTTGCTCTGTTTCATTCGTTCTCCTCTGATCTCTTTTCCCCTTTATCATCTGCTCTCTCCTTGACTTTCCTCTGAGATGTAAACTGCAAACGACCTTGTTTTCTTTGCCTCATCATTCTCTTTGTTTGCTCTGCTGTTGCATTTTCGGCAGCATCGCACAGAAAACCGAGGCAGGATCACTAGTCAAGAAACAAGGAGATCTGAGCAAAGGGAATTTTAAAGCCCGTTGCCGACCTTAACACCATCAGAGTACAGAAAACACAAGGCAGAAGTAAGAGTGCCATTGTCAAACACTAAACATGATGCCCTATTCATTTTTATTTCCCTTCCTTTCACCCTATTTGTCATGCTTTTGACCTCTAGATAACCATAGCTGTTTTAACTCTTGGGGTTTTTTTTTTTGTTTATGGATCTTAAGGGAGGAGAGGAGGCAAGAAGAAGAACTTGTGCAGACAGGACAGCGGGAGAGCAATTCATCTCTGGCTGTGCCACCGGGGCAATTCCCACGGAGTCCCTCGGAGAGGAGAGCCTGCTACAAAGAGCCAGCGTTGGCCCTTTAAATTGAATTTCTGATCTGCCTCCGTTGGATATGATGGATGTTGTGTCGCCTTAATCAGTACCACTCAGGTGGTCCGAGGGAAGCTATTAACCTGAAATACTTCAGGTGTGTCGTTATGATTTTATCTCACTCGTGCATGCAAGATTGTTACTCAAAATATTTGATGAATTTGAGGTGCCATAATTGAAATGGATGCATATGGTAGTTTTACTTAAAAAAAAAAAAAAGAAAAAAAAAAGAAAAGATTTCTGTCATGGTGGGCTTTTGAATGTCCCTTATTGCTAAGTGGAATGGTTCGGCAGATGACAACATTAGCTGTTTGACCTCATTTTTTTTCATGCGTGCTGTCAAAATTCTATCATCACAGATTCAAGTCCACATTGTCATGTGATCACCTATATATATATGTGTTTGGCATTGTTTAACGATAATGAAGAGCTTCAGGGTCACAAAGCGAATCATGCAAATGTGAGAGTTTTAGCCTGACAGGAAGAAGTGACATTGTAGTCTTCGTTGAGCCACTTAACAGTAACATGACCAGAAGTGAGCCAAGTTTTGCCTAAATGGTACTTTTCAGTCAATTGCTGTGTATTTAATTATGTGAACTTTTCTGTGCTCCATCAGAGTTTGGGATATCACATTCGTATTTAGTCTGAATGTTTTTTTATTCATTTGAATGAAGTATCAATACAAGCAATGAAATAAATGTAATCAGATTTGTCATTCACATTCACATTTAAAGGGTCTTGAAGGCGAACACTCATCGACAAAGTAGTTTGTCTGGCAAATTAACAATTTGGAGAGCACACACATGCATTATTCATTGATGGCATTCTGGAATCTCTGCACTGTACAGCCGGCATGATAGACAGTGCCCTCCGGCCCTGTTTGGACTGTTGTTGGCCTATAATTAGTCTCTGACAGCCAACCTTGACCCACTGAACCCAGAACCTCTCCATGCAGAGACAGTAAACTCTGACTGGGTCCCACCCCTGAACCCTCCAGATGCTCTACTCTGGTCCCAGGCTCTTGTCTGGGTGCGGGGAAGAGGGGGTGCTCCATTAGCCAGCTAGGACAGTTCTGTGACAAACGAGGTGTGCAGAGTTGAGTGCAGCTGCTCCCACTGCGCAACTGCTGCTGCACGCACACACACACACAAACTTCCCATAAATCAGCACGCGAGACTGTGTCGGCCAGCCGGTGCTCACCCAGTGTTAAAAGCCAATCAGGAAAATTACATGCAAACTCCAAGGGACCTATTTTCACTTTCTTAAGAAATCATTAGTCAATGTTATGAGCTTTGACGTCTCTATAATACCACATGCGGCTGCTGCAGACCCTATTGCCTGTCCTGCTTCCTGCCTAAGCTGACATTTGTACAAGTACTGCCCTCCCTTATCATGGCTCTCTGCGACGTAATGGTGGACCCATGAAACGAACGATGCAAAAATAGAATAACCAACACTTTTGGTGGCTATAAAGAGAGTAACAGCATTTTATCAAGTAAATAGAGCAAAAACAAGCTGACTCTGAAATACAATAATGAGGCCTGTCCAAAATTTAGTTTGCCATCTCAAACAGAGCCAGTATATGGATTGCTTATCATAAATCACACCAGTCATTCGTCGTCTCGTAGAGATGTGAAATCACTAACGAGCAAAAAATATTTCTATAACACAAGAGGTCACGTTGTGAGAGGGAAGAAATTTGATCTGTGCTGTATGTTGCACATACAGCACATTTGACAATAAAGTTGTACTTGATCCTTGACTAGATACTTATTTCAAGACATACAGTATACCATTTTTTAAAGGGTGTACAATTATGGCAATTTAACGTCCAGTAAAAAAAACAAAACAAAACAAAAAAACAAACAAAAAAAAAAAACAAACCCCCAAAAAAACCACATGAAGTTGTTAAAACCCAGATTCTATCCATACCTTGATGTGGTGTTGGCTGTAATTTTCAGACTACCGGGGTTGCGTATGAGTTTGTCCAGGATGCTGACTATCTGTTCAAACTTGGGCCGGTTGTTCCTTTCCTTCTGCCAGCAGTCAAGCATCAGCTGATAAAGCGTAGCGGGGCAGTCCATGGGCGGGGGAAGGCGGTAGCCCTCATCGACAGCCTTTATTACCTTGATATAGCAAGGAAAATGAAATTATTGATTTCAGCTTGACATTGCTGCAGTCGATGTCTGCTGCCAATTCGGTGCTATTTTGCCGACAATGGGCCATTTGTGTACTCACGTCTTGATTGGACATCTCCCAGTAAGGCCGTTCCCCATACGACATGACTTCCCAGAGCACAATGCCATAACTCCAAGCATCGCTCGATGATGTAAACTTCCTGTAAGCAATTGCCTCTGGAGCTGTCCACCGGATAGGGATCTTACCTCCCTGTGAGACCAGTAGTAGGGGAAAAATAAATCAGACAGACAGAGGTTTGTCAACTGACTTTTAGCCAAGACCTTGCAATATCAACGTCAACTCAACTTAAAATGGGAAGCTAGCACAATGACGTTCTTGAGGACATACATGCTTTACAGTTGAATTATGTCTGGATGGATTGGCTCAACCACGATCATACAAAATGTTCTGCTTGGCCTTGAAGCATCCTACGGGAACTGAAAATTCAAGAAAGTTGGCCCGTCCAAACAGGGGTGCTAAGGCTCTGCATCAAGCTCTCCCGCATGAGACTTATGCACCTTGCCCTTTCCGAAACCTCTCCCAAAAACTTGAACTCACAGAGATGTCCAAATCTCTTGATAAGATGATTCACAAAGATTGAAGAACTCAGGATTCCCTAGATACCACTGATTGTCTTGTTAAGTGATGGGTCAAGCCAATTCACACTATGGTCCATGCAGACATATGGGAGAGGTCAGACTTGCTGAAAAACCACAGTGGGCCCCAAGAAGCTGCTGAGTCACATGTGTTCAACTTTAAAAGGCCATTATGGATTGATTGGCTTTTCTCCACACTGGCATGTATTCATTACAAACATAAATGAAATCTTTTTCCAAAAATAACATATCTTTCAAATCTAATCCCAAATTTCCTGCAGCATTTCTTATTGTAGCGCTTGCTTCATTTGTCATTTTAGCTGAGAGACAGGATAAATGAGGGACATGGAGCTGAGGGAGGGAGGCTCATGGCAGCCAGAACTAACAAAAGTCATCGGCCAAGACTATTCTGTTCATGCATGGTGGTGTGCAGTCATACACACTCCTCTAAAACAACACCCGCTCTCACATCTCCAAGGAGGCACAGTGAGATGAGGAAAAAAAAAAATATTGCACACACGTGTGTATTATAATAGTTGATGTATGACTGAGGTGCAGACAGAATTGCAACGCAAACAGACATGGAACACAAGCATCGCAACGTCATTTGTGACAATCTAGTGCTCTTGTTCAAATGCATGGATAAATTACACAAAAACAACATATTATGGACTACTGTGTCTTTTGTCGAATAAATCAGGTCAGATAAAATTCCTTTGCGAAGCATTGTCAGTTACTGTAACACTAAGTCTGTTTCATATTGTGTTTTATCATTAGACATTTCATATCATATTTCCAGGAAGGCAAATGGCACCCTGGCTGTTTATTTGACAAGCAATCATTGGTCAGCAAATTGCAGCATGCCTAAAGGGGCTGCGTGTGTAGTCTAGACTATATTATCCCTGTGATGAAAATGACCACACACATGCTGCAAAATAACACAGCTGTGAGTCTGCAGCATGCCAGGCCGGCTGGTACTGTAAGCGGAATGCCAGTCAAATGTTGGCAGAGAATAGTTTTGAGTTCCAGTATAAATATAAAGATTGACTTTATTCAACAAACTTTATTTTTTTCCTCTTAATCTCAGAGTACGGTAATATTACAGAATAGGTGTTAAAAATCATGCACAACAACACCATGAGGACCTTCATTCATTTTGTATATTATATTACATATAGGGGTATTTTTATTGCCGAGTGAATCACTGCACTGTCAGGTTGTTTTTTTGAGCTCACCCGTGTGGTGTAAGCAGCCTCGGGGTCGTCCTCCAGGACCCTCGACAAGCCGAAGTCTGACACTTTACACACCAGGTTACTGTTGACTAAGATGTTTCGTGCAGCGAGGTCTCTGTGAACGTAGCCCATGTCTGACAGATACTTCATTCCTGAGGCGATGCCACGCAGCATGCCAACCAACTGAATTCCAGTGAACTGGGCGTCGTGTTTCTGCAAAATTCAACGTGAGCACAAGTTAACGTCAGTCTTTTAATTTGTTCTCACACGGACCACAAGTCTGACGTCGCAGATGATTTGCATGAAACGCAACTCCGCAAAAAAATGACCACTACCTTGTAATTAATGTTTTAAGAAGCACTTTTTACAGTTTGTTCCACATTGTGGTCAGAGGTGACATCCAGCAAGTCCCACAGCACTCCAAAAAGAAATAGGAAGTCAGAAAACCACTGGAATGGAGAATTCTCTATGATCCATGAGAGTCTTCTTTGTGTACAAAATAAAACTGGTTCAATAATTCGTATTATTTGCTACCTATACTAAGTCAAGCATAAAAAAGGAAACCGAAGACGTTGTACAATATTGTATGCATGCATGGAGAGAATTTTGATTTGTGAGGTGAGTAGTGTTGGACTGGCTCTGTTCTTGTTCACCCCAAGTGTGTTTGAAGACACCTCTTGGGTTTTTCGACATTTAACTTATCCAACCATCCTTTCATGAACCTTTCTTTGTGTACTGAGTCACAGCCAAGCTTGAACAAAAATTAGTCAGTCACCAAACTGTTTCCAGGAAGCCGTTTTTGTCTAAAATTCCTTTGTGTCCTCTCATTAGAGTCAGGTGGAAGACTGGGGATTTAACCTAATCCCCAATAGAATAATTTATTGAGTGTGCCAAGTTATTTATCAGTCTACACATGTTTTCCAAAAGGGTGTAGCACACTAAATTGACAAAATAAATACACTTTCATTGAGAAGTGTGTCAAGTATTTGATGAGCACTTTCATATTTGCTTTTCATTTGCTCCCATGAATACAAATGCAGCATGTAAAGCAGTCTGTGAGTCAATTTTGGCATATGAGTGACAAAAGTGCAAGATTACGTCCAATGAAATGCCGTGTCTTCTCATCGCATCATTTTCGCGACGAGAATAAAATGACTCATTTTCGTTGTTTTAGTTTGCTGATGAACCCGACCGGACCATCGCATTTGGACAGCAGCAGTTAGTGGCCAGACCACCTGGAATTGTCACTTCAAAGCCTTCCAGAATCAAACATATGCTATAATGCATACGCTATGAGTTTGCGCGTGTGTTTGTGTGTGCGCATATGACACATCTACAGAGATGAAGTGCAGGCCTTCGGGCAACATGCCAACAAACAGCTACTCCTCCAGGATGAACTATGATGCAGTGCAGACGTGGTAAAGGGCTAAAACATGAGTCTGCAAGCTTTGATGTCAGTGTTATGACTTGGCGCTCCTGCTTTGACTAATTTCAGTGAGGCGGGTCACTCCATTTTAAGAAGCAGAGACATGCTTAAAAAAAACAAAAAAAAGAAATGAAAAAGTCCCTCCCTGCATGATGAATGTCTGCATGAAATGGGTACACAATCTGCAGAGAACTCAATCTGAACCAGAACTGAAGGAATTCATTGACAAGAATGTCAAACGTAATATTTCTTAGGTCAGTTTACATCACTGTATGAGAGTGGCCCATATTTTTTGTCTTGTTTTTAGCACAAGGTCAAGAAGGGCATAATAATGTCAGAATCACTGTTTGTGCATGCTTACTGTATTGGAAAAGGTAGCTGGCTAATGAGCCGTGCAGGAAGCAAAGTCACTGCTGTCTGGGGAGGCTGTGATTGTGATACGGTTATTGTCGTGATGCTTTGCTGTGACACCATGACGGCAATTCTTCATTGCATATGGACCATTTGACGTTGACGCTGATATGTGTTGAAAGATTGTTGCATATTCACAATCCAAACACCTCAAAAATATTTATGGTTGTAGAGAGTACCGGTAGCAAACTCATTCCATTAAAACACCACGCTGTTGAGTCATAACACAGCGAAAGTTTAGATAATTTAATGCTTGAGTTGTGAAGTGGTACAGTATCTCCCACTTTCGGAAGAATTATGACATTAACCTTTGGTGGTGAATAATTTCATACATGAGTGCATATTTTTGTGTCATTTTATGAGTGTACTCACCCTTAAAAAGCTGTCCAGTGAACCGTTCTCCATGTACTCCGTGACAATCATGACAGGCTTACCTGCAAAGAGAATGACATTCAGGACTTCAATTCATCATCTGATCTATCAGCTATCTGCTATAATGCGAACCGAACTGCAATCCATTAAAGTTTTCACTTCTCAAAACTTTGTTTGGTGGCGCCAGAAGATCAGTAATCAAGAGTGACATCTTTGTTTCGAACTACAGCCATCATGAGGTTTATTACGAGGGAGAGGGGAGAAAAAAAAAATCACTTTTGCATCTTCTAAAGCATCCATTGTTAAATCAACAGGCCTAGCGTCAAGACTTGTTGTGTCCCAGATGGCTTTGTTGTCACTGCTTCACTCTTGACTTGCCACCAGCCATATGCTCCATTTCCATTTCATCCTGATGAATTCGCCCCTCCTCTTCTTTCCACATCGTGTGTCAACTGTCCTCACATCTGGATGAGATGCGGGACAAGTGATGGAACTGCGTGTTAAATGCAACAAATCTATCAGCCTCGATGAAAGAAATAACATTCTCGTCCCCAGTCGTGATGGATCACTTTAATTAAATCAAAGCAGGCTGCAACAAAATAGATGATATCAATTACTGGTTGAGCAGCGCACCATCTCGTATTTCAACTTAAACCATATAAACCATATAAGTAGGCTGGTTTAAATTTTATGCCGTGTTATTTTACAAATCAATGTGCAGTATATTGATTGGCATTGCCATTTTACAGAGCAAGAGAATAATTAGGTGAAGGCATCAAGATATGGGACTTTAAATTGAAAAGAAAAAGATTGGTTACAAGTTATGTGGGAGTTCTATTTTCAAAAATATAGGACCTATTAATATACAGTAGTACTTAAACACGTTCAGCAATGGGAATCAAAAAATATAATTCAAATCCACCTGTTTTGAAAAGTCTCCACCACTAACATGACTTCCAGTAATTTCTTCTGACATTGTCATGTACACATATTTGTACACATAAAAGAGGTTTTGGGCTAGCAGCGACAGAAAAATCCTGCTCAAAGTGGGACTTCAAAACGATGCCAAGGCCCAAAAAATATAAGAAAAGTTTTTTGCTCCTTTTTTGAAAAAAAAAAAAAAAAAAAACTGTTTTCTTTTTCTCTACCGGGTTCAATTCCAGCTCCGGCCTTCCTGTGTGGAGTTTGCATTTTCTCCCCGTGCCTGCGTGGGTTTTCTCCGGGTACTCTGGTTTCCTCCCACATTCCAAAAGCATGCATGGCAGGCTGATTTAACACTCTAAATTGTCTCAGGGTGTGATTGTGAGCGTGAATGGTTGTTTGTCTATGTGTGCCCTGCGATTGGCTGGCAACCGGTTCAGGGTGTCCCCTGCCTATTGCCCAAAGACAGCTGGGATAGGCTCCAGCACACCCGCGACCCTTGTGAGGATAAAGCGGATCAGAAAATGGATGGATGGATGTTTTCTTTTCCTTTCGCTTGATTCAGTCTATGTTGAACTCAAAAGAGTCTAATTTAACATCGTTTGTCTCAATAAACTCACAAAGCTTACTTTTACAATCCTCGTTTATACATCTGTGCTTAAACTCCTACAAAATGGTGATGGATGCTTGCATTTATTAGAGGACCATTTTATAGAGAGTGGAACCCACACACATGTTCCTCCCTCGTGTCTTCAAGCCTCTCCACTTCCATCCTTTTCTCCAGCAAAGATAAAGGCCCTGCAGCTCCTTTGTTGTGTCGCTCTATTCATGTGGATGACTGAGAGAGAGTGTGTGTGTGTGTGTGTGTGTGTGTGTGTGTGTGTGTGTGTGTGTGTGTGAGCATCAAACATGCATGTGTGTGTCTCTGAAAATATGCAGCCTATGGATCACCCAAAAGCAGCAAGGTAAATGGGGTGTGAAAGTCTTAGGATTAAGAATTAACAGGGGCATCTCAATAAATCACCCGTGTGCGTGTGTGTGTGTGTGTGTGTGTGTGTGTGTGTGTGTGTGTGTGTGTGTGCGTGCATGTGTGTGCGCGCACCCGTGTGTGTGTGTGTGCAAAGCAAATGAACCTAAAATCGAGCCATGCTTCCGGGCTGCTCCAACTCATGCACATATGTTGAGGGTATCGCTCCAAATGTTCACTCACTCATACGCATATGAGCATGCATATACACGCACGTGCGCACACACACACACACACACACACACACACACACACACACACACACACACACACACACAGGCAGAAGAAAGGACCGATGTGTTAAGATAATTCATATATTTTTCTGTTTTATGGACATGTTTCTTCAGTAAACAATTGGTGCTTTATCATGAGTTAAGTGTCGGACAACTTCAGCTAAAATTTAAATCTATGTACATCAAATGTGAACAACGGTCAAGCATAGAGTAAAAAAAACAAAATACAAATAAAAAATGAAGAATTTGCGGTTTTGTTTTGTTTTAGGTTTTGGTCTGGCATTGACTTCTTGGGGTAAAATAGTAATTTCTGTAAAGTCAAACCATCCATCTGAACTGAATTAAAAAAAGGGGCATGGAGCAATTTAGACACTGAGATCACACAAGAGAATAAGAGAATTAGACTGAGGGAGATTAAACAAGGCAAAGAAAAAATTGAGGACAATTAAGTGAGGAGAGGCTCTTGGTGTTTTAGTCACTAAGTAGCAGTGCTTCTTAACAAGGCTGGCGCCTCAGGGAAAGATAGAGGCCAGGCATGTTTCGCAGCGACAAAGTTCAGACTCATTATTTTGTTTTTTTGCACTCATTCCTTTTCACAGACTCCTTCTGTGCGCTGATGATAGTCCTATAAAGAGACCCAGAGGGGAGCAAGCAAGAGATATGGATTCATGCCCACTAAGGACACAGCTTTGATCAGAGTACATTGATCTGCAGAGATTTACACCACGGCAACTCGATAAAAACGCTGCGATTTTCTCTAAAGCGTCGGCCACTTTAGGGCCATTTGTCAAAGACATTTTCAGATCAGAATCGGTAAAAACACTCCAGAGAGAATGGATGTGTCATAGAATGTGGATACAAATCACATAACAAACCTTTCCTCGTGTATTCTTGTACAGTGTTACGTGAAATTCCGAACATTTCAACAGAGTTAAATTTCCGCCCCAGTGTCATCTACAAATAGGACACCACACCATTCCCTCTTCTCTTACAGTTTCAGTAGCTTGACCGGGTGTGCAAGCGCAGTTGTTCTACTTTAGTTTCAATCATACATTTATACACATTCACCGGTGACGAGATGTTTCAACAGATCCTTCAAATGGCTTTGTGCAATGAAGAATTTATATTACTTACTGCGTGTCACAACACCCTCGAGCCTGATGATGTTGGGGTGGTCAAACTGTCCCATGATTGACGCTTCGGCAAGAAAGTCCCGCCTCTGCTTGTCCGTGTATCCTCCTTTTAGAGTCTTGATGGCCACACAGATCTCCTTCTTGCTGGGTAGCTTCAGACGACCGCTACACACCTCACCAAACTCGCCTACACGTCACAGAGGAATGTTTTACAAAAGGTCAATTACTCTTTCGAGGAAGAGTTTCTCATCAGTATCTCTTTTACGGAGACCACATATTCCACTTTGCTTGATCATATTGTTGTATGGGAACAGTGCTTATGACCCATTGGAAGATGAATGTGTGCTTCTCAGATAACAGACAAAAGCAATGTTATGCTTAAGGTTCGCTTAAAAAGGTTAACAATACGAAAGATGGAAACTGTGACTCACTGCTTGGATAGTGATCTAACACTAACCTTACGTGATAAGTGTATTTGTTGATTTACACAAATAAAAAAGCCTAATGGAGAAAATTCCCCGCCTGTTGACACAGCCTTATTGTCTGTTAGTACAAGTGGATGCAAGGTGACTCAATATGCTCTGATTAGAATTCCTCGCTGGTGACGGGATGTGTGCATGTGTTTACTTCATCCCGTGCCAATGTGTGTGTTTTGCACAATGTACAGTAAGTGGTGCAGGAAGACTGCATGCTTCAAATGCAGCCATCAATGCTGCAGCTGGCTGCAGGGATTTGGCCCCGCTTTAGACAAGCGGATCAAGAATGCATACTAAACAACGTATATGCGTTGGGAGCGCTCGGTGATGTCAGAGCTAAGACATTTGGAGATCTCGCGCTTCCCCTGGCCCACACTATAATTTCCCAGTGCAACTGTGGAACACAGAGCATGGGTCAAAATCTAGACGTGAAGCGACGGGGTCTGGAAGAATTTAGGCCAGAATAATTACAACCTGTCTAAATACCAACATCATGCCTGTTCTTTCCTGCTCTGCTCCGTCCAGCAGTGAGCGGAGCAGACAGGGTAAAGGAGCTCTTTTTGTGGTCACCCCCAGAGAGTGGAGATCTCATTTTAATAAGGCTTGATTAGGGACACTCATTCACTTCCTGTTCTAAGTGGAGCCGGGTATCTTACTTTGATGGGAAAGACCCATTAAAAAAAAAAAAAAAAAAAAGTTTTCTGTCTTTTAACACGCAATCACCGATTTGCAAAAAGATCAAAGTCTGGTTAAGCTACTGAGTGCAGATTCTCATACGGAGTGCTGTATGAGAATTCATGTATTGCATAAAGGATGCAATAGGCTTACCCCTTTAAATGGCATATTAATTGGTTGCTAAATCATTGTAAACATAAAATTAAAAATCATTAATGAGCTACTGGCATTTATGGCAACAAGGAAAAGCGGACAGCACCATTATTCCGTAATGTAAAGTAAATGAGTTCTCAATTAACAAATTGTTCACAATGTTTAAAGAAGTGCGGAACCATAACTAGCAGTTTATAAGTTATATTTTCTTATTGCGTGTCTTCATTACTCACAAACAGTTGAGTATATTGAGATGTTCACTATTCAATTCTTTGGCATATACTGCAGTTGTTAAATTTTAAAAATGCAGAGTAGGACAATTTCGGTTTATTGTTTATTGTCATATTCATTTAAAAATTGCAATGTACAATCCAATGAAATATAATATGGTTTGCCCTCGTGCTCTCACAATCCACAATACGAATGACCGTGATACCAAAAACCATACCCAACATATGTAATATACACAGTGTATCAAGTCAAAAGTTAGGCCTGCTATTTAACATTCTAACTGTCTGAAGATAAAAACTGTCTGTAAAACGTGAGGTTTGAGCCCGAATACTTTGTACCCGGTGCTAAGTACCAAAAGAGATCATGTGCCGGATGGAACGGGATGCTTGAAGGGAAAATTAAGATACAGAAAAAGGAAAACAGGTTACATGAATCAACAACAGCAAACCTGCTGTCATTTAGCATTTGTTTTCCTCCATCAAAGAGCTTTAAGGAGACTGGGGCGTTAAAATGAATTAGCATTCCCCGTAGGACACTTTATGGCCTACACTTAACATAACCTGCCAATGCACTTAAACCCAGGAGCCTTGCATGTTCTCCATTTTTTTTTTTGTTTCGCAGTGCATTCTTTGAATTAAGCGAGAGGTAAAGGAAACTGAAACCGAGGAAGGATGTTGGCTAGACAAAAATATATTTTAATGTGCAGTATGTTAATGTATGATTTTATCTTGACAATATGAGTCTAGTTGATTCTTACCTGCTCCCACCACTTTATCAATGGCTATGCAGGAGGCATCCAGCTCCTTTGCAAACTCATGCACGGCTTGGCTTGGGTCCTCATATGTGTGGGGGTCTACGTAGGTCTTGATACCTGGCAGACGCACTGGAGCAGGAAAGAGGAAGCTCACATGGTCACTCAAGAACTGCCACTTCGTCAAGAAATACTCAGGAGGTTTCAACATTAAATCCTCGGAGTGCCGTGATTTAATCAAAACGAAAAAAAAAAATCAGATCAGTCGCTTCCAACGTTTAAGATGATGTAATCTCCTTTGTCTCACTAAGTTTCGAACATGTCAGGATACATGAGGATACTCTGCAGAAGCCAATTAATATCACACTAACACATGTTACAACAGCCTTACAGATGTTTCTAAATGATGAGAACGGCATATATCCAAGTAAAAAAGGAAAACTAGGTTGATCGGTTTAGGGAAAATTCCAGCCCAATCATGACCAGATGCAAATAATACTTTGCTGCTGTTACATCGTGTCAGCTTGGCTTCAGTGCGGAGAAAAAGGAATGAGATGACAGAGAATTGCATGTTTTTTCACATTGCAAAATCTGATTCGACCGAGCGTTACTTCAGCGTTCAGTGATTCCCAGTCAGATGAAATTTTCAACTTTGCTCGAGTTTAGTAGGGCTAATCAAAGGCTTTTCACTGCCACTTTAAGACAGGACAAAATGCCAGGAAAGAAAAAAAAAAACTATTTTTAAAAATTGGACTTCCCTAGTAGTTTATGGTCACATGTTGATCCTCCTAAATTATTCATGAGTGAAAAAACCTGTTACTGTCTTGGGGAGATTTGTGGTTTATACCTATCAAGCTTAACGGCTACAGTCAATAAAGGAAAAGGCAAAGACTAAAATCAAAAACATTTCGAGTACTTTAACAATCCTAATTCTGAATGCCTGCCACATGCATTACTGTATTCATTTCCTTCCTTTCTGTTAGGACGTCTGTTATTTTGTTCGACTTTAGCTTTTAAAATCATCAATCTCTCCGTTTACATTGAAAAAGTAATGACTGGTGAGACAAGTACAAATGGAATTGAGGTCTCTATTATTCTATTCTACTCTATACTTACTGTCCAATTTAAATTAATTGGCCTGACAATGAGTATTTATTGACAACAAATACAATGTATATTTACACTGACGGAACGTACAATAAAGACATTACGCTGCAACACACATCATTCTTATTTCAGTTTCTGTGTCTTGTAAACTTTTTGAGACACTTTTTGTTTGGTGTAGTGCCATGAGATTTTTCAAATATAAAGCATGTGCTTGATCATGGTTGGGAAACACGGGATTTGGAGAATACAACATTGTCGAGCTTTAGCAACATTTCCCATCAGGCCTCTGTTTGTTTAGAAGTGTGAAAATACTGTGAGAAAGAAACATCTACAGGAACAAAACATTCAAGCAATTTCGAATGCAACCAGCTAATTGGAGTTCAGTGAACTGTAAAGTGGAGACAGGAAAGATTGAAGAAGAAAAACAGTCCGGTACTTACGGTGGCCGTTGCCAAAGTGCAGTCTTTTCTCATCAGGATGTTTGGATTTGCTGTGGCAACAAAACCTGCCAATCCAAATAGAGAAGGTTAGAAGCTGTGCCACGTCTAATAAGGCTTCACCCATTGGCCCATTTTAGTTGATGTGTGTGTGTGGGTGCGCGTGCGTGCGTGCATGAGCGTAGGAGAGTGTATACAAGTGCAAAATCCCAGCTCTTACGAACCGCGGGGGAATCTATCAACTTTTTTTCCAGAATGCCAATATCAGTGACATACTATTAACGTCTTCCAATCAACACACAGACAGGCACATGAGTTATAATTGTTCATACAGTTATTGTGAGGATAGCATGGAAGTTAGGTATGAACATAACACATTATGTTCATTATGTTTAATTTGACCTAAAGATAGCAAAGATACTTTTATGTTTGGGACCAACACAGTGCTTGTCAAAATTATAGATCAATAACAAAGGCTACCATCATTAGCATACAAATACGTGTGCATCTGCAACAACCCCTGTAATGTTTTTGAAGACAGTCTTTGGAAAATACCCATCGACTAATTTGGAATTACTAGGAAGATCTTTTTTGTGGTGTCCATGCCTAATCTATGCAATCAGGTTGTTAGGCGAGAGCAAAAGGATTGTGCCGCATAATTCCGAGGTGACATGTGGACAGACCTGCCAATCAAGACGTAGAGCAGCACAGTGAGCAGGATGATGGCCACTGCTGAGGAAATCGCAATCAGAACAACCTGGCTACTCTCACTGGAGATGGAAAAGGCTGCTGAAAGACACAGAGCAACATAGTAGTGAGTTGCATGTTGTCGCCAGCAATATATTCGACACACGCACACGTTATTTAAAAAGAACGGACAAAATGCATGTTGGAATCCTTGGTTTAAAACCGGCATTCTGGAAACCAAACTCCATATTTCATACATGGCAGCCACCACTTACAGTCAGGACTGGTCTCAAACTGAAAACTGGGGCTGCTGGCTCCGTAGCCAGCAGCTGTGCGGGCTCTGATCTGCAGTAGGTAGGCAGTGTTGGGCTTAAGACCATTCAGAGTCACGTTACAACCCCGGGCCCGAAGGATTGTGTAGCTGGTCTCTTGCTCCTCCTAACAGACGAGGCAGAAATACAGACAGGGAAATTAAATACATCGCCTTGGGCCGAAATATTAATGAATACAACATGCGCGGTGTCTCATCTGAGAGTGTGGGCCATCATAAGCACACACACCCAAACAATGCCGACAGTTTGACAGGTTTCCCTTTATCTGATGAATTATGGCCTCCCTATTTTACGACTTCTCTCCTGCTGATCTATGCTGATAAAGCAAAGCAAGAACAGGGAGTCTTCACCTTGCAACCAGATGTGGAATTCTTGGATGAGAGATGAAAAATCTCACTTTAATTTTAGGTCTTTCAGATGATAGAATTGATTGACTAGTATATTAATATGTTTATTAAGTTGACGGGAGATGCTTTTTTTTATTGTTTATGTTGTGACAGTAGTTTAGGAGAGTGGTTGTCAAACTTTTTACAGGGCTACGTTAGCTCTTCAAGAACCCATTTTAAAATACAGTGGCGCACAACAGTTTACCAAAGATAAAACAGATTATTATCAGTCGCATTGACGTGATGCACATTTTGGACATTACTGCTTAAATATGGAGGGGGTGGAGACTGTACTTGAATTCTGATTACATTAAAATATATTGAACATTGAAGTTAAATTTGCACTGACATAGCTGTTTAAAAACAAACACTTCTTAAACATTAAAGACACAGGTACTTCACTCAAAAAGTTAAATACAACTGAACTGTACTTAGGCGGTGATGTTTTTTTTGCATACCACGAGAAGGATTCTATTCGGAGACTAGATCTACACACACAGCTATATTGTAATTTGGACAGCCAGTGACGAATATGATCTGATGTGAATTTCATCATTAATTTGAGATTTGAAGTTGGACTGCATGCACCCAACTCTGTTCCTCCACCCAGCCGGAGTAAACTGCCATTTAAAGGAATGACTACCAACCCATTAATCTAGCAGTATTCCACCAATTCACAACAACAAAATAAGCCATTAAAGATAAACAGGGGAGATAAAATAAGGTTCAACAACCTAAATGGCATTCATTTAACAAAATGAGCCTTGGGTTTCTCAAATAAGGCAAGCAAAAAAAAAAAAACAAACCCACGTCAAGGAGGGAGTTGAATCCTCATTCTACAAACCGGGTTATTTACAAGCCCTCATTGTAAAAGACAACACACACACACGCACACACACACACACACACACACACACACAGGGCAATATGAAAAGACTTCACGGCCAGTAATGGGGGGATTAGAGTTTTATAGAGCACAAAGCTTTTTAAACTGGTATGGGTGTGTGGAGGTAACTGATACAACAGGCCAACATCAGGATAACTCTTCATCACAACTATAAATCCACTCACGGCTTGTCACCATTCAATGGCAAGGACAGCATGGGATCCCTTTTAAAATCACACACAGGTGTGGTAAAACGACCTATGTCCGTGCGTGTGCGTGTGTGTGTGTGTGTGTGTGTGTGTGTGTGTGTGTGAGGAAGCAAAGCATAGCAATGGCATCCTGTGATTAAGGGCTGACCATGTGTGTCTCGCCGGAGCACTACAGATCACCACCATAGCTGTAATGCCGCTTTGGCAATCTAAACAAAGCTGAAGAAAATTATTGCTTGTATAAACATGCACAAAAAAAATGCAAAACAGGATTCCTTCCATGTAAGACCAAATAAACACACCGAACCTCTGCATGTGAAGGTTTCTGTGCTCATGACAACAATATGTGCAAGAAATGTAGTTTGCTCACGACATTTTTACTGAATGTGGAGATGTTTCACGCCCATGAGAGGCTCTCTTTGGTTGAAGCAATAATGTGATTGAATAAAATATATCATATTATATATTTTATATTTAAACCGAAAGTAACACAAATAGAGGCAAAGTCACCTTCCACTTTCATATATCTGGAGCTAAGCGTAATTTGTGGTTCAACATAGCTCGTTGCATTTTAATTTTCTGATGCATCTAATACTGTTTCGACGCTACCAGTAGCTAAAAATTCTGAAAATCAAATGTGCAACAACCATTTGGGCAGATATGAAACTGTGTCAGACATGATAAATGGTCTATTTCAAAGCTCATGCGTGCCATACAAGTTATATCTTTGGGATTATTGCATTCATAAATCTACAGAAAGTTTATCTCTGATAAAGCGCATCTGCTTAGACGATACTATTTCAAGAGTGATCCGCCAAAGTAGTAGGAACTATCATTAAATGTGCTGATGTGTAATGAGTCTTCTTTCCACACTGCCTTTGAACATCATGGACAATTGTGTCCTCCAGGCTAAGAGGAAAAGGACATCCAGATTTTGACCAGCTTGAAGCTGAAAATCTTTGATGATGCAGCGAGTGTCTTAGTGCTCGTGGCATCTTGGGTAACTCGCACATCTGTGAAAGTACCATGAACGCTGAAAAGCACTTCCAGGTTTCCCAGACAACGCCTTTTTATTGCCATCCTTGCTCATTCGAAGTCGCAAACACACTTACTCTACTGCTGTTTAGTTCCTCCTAAAATTAGATCGCACAATTATCCTGCGTGAAACTACGGTAAAACAATACTGAAATAGATGTTTACGTGATTAGTTATTGATTAAAAATATCCTAAAATACTGTATATTAGCCTTTTTATCGGATAGGAAATTGTATCACTTAATTCAAATTTGATTTGTCCACATATAGAGTATACATCCGTGCAATCATTGTATTCGAGAGACAACGGGAGTTTACTACGAAAATACCATACTAGAGAGAAAAGCACAAGGAAAAAAAAGAGGAACCTGTGTTTTAAGACAGCGCAGCTCATCATCTTACTGCATATGTTTTGTTTTCATCACAGGCAGCTTGCATGTCTGTACTGAAGAAAACTTTGTGTTGATTTTACACAATTTTGGATCCAATTTAAGTAGAGGTATAGTCTACTTCAAAAAAAAAAATATCTGGATCCAGGAGATTTTGTTTGGGGCAACCACTTGACAAAACAAAATTGAGTGACTTTAACGCAACTCTTTTTTTCTATGTGTCTGTCTCTCTGTGTATATCAATCTCCTTTATCTCAACGTGTGTCTTTGTGATTCTGTCTTTAATCACTTTGTGTGCTGCAATGCGGACTTCAGCCTTGGCATACGATTTCACCTCAACTGGCCTTCCAGAATACACCGTTTTTAAGGGGATCTCCCACTGGTGTCCTTGTTCACCCATCTGCATGGAAGAACCCTTTTGTCTGAAGTTTAAAAAGTGGCCGCTGTGGAGAATCCTGTGAAAAGTGTGTTAGAGTTTGTGTGCATGTCCTTATGTGTCCCAGGATGTGACTAACAAGGATTTATGCAACGCCCCTGTGCTTTACGCCATTTTAAACCCCACCTTTTCATTTCTTCATCGTTCTGTAATGAATTTGCATCTTGTGGTTGAGTGTGTGCAAGTGTGTGTGAATGAGAAAGCGATGTATCAGTCATTAACTTTTCCCCTTGCTGTTTTCCAGCCGTGTATTAGCATCTTAGGTAAGGGTGGCTGAGCAGGGAACCGAGTTTAGAGAGGAGACTGCTTCTGTCTGCCTACTAATCAAGAGATTAGGGGCCAGGGCTGGCATTGAAGCAAACTGTGATCTGGGGACACACATGTACTTTCTTCTCTCCCCCTCTCTCTTGCTCTCACATACACAAACGCGCAATCTCTCATTTCTCATTCACACACACACACACACACACACAGCACACGCAGACACAGTGAATCTGCTCGAGTGACTAAACTTGCATCAACGACTAATTTCACCATCAAATATCAGCTCTAGTAGCATTGGTGCTGAAAGGCAGTGTAATTCGTTCGGTGCTAATTTCCCCTCACAGAAGAATGAACGACCCCGTTTACTGTCTGCCATAAAACATAAAACTCCATGAAGGAGAGGGGAGGACAAGATGAAAGGCAGAACATGAAACATGGGGGAAAAAAGGTGAGAATAAGAAAGAGAAAAGGCAAAGAAAAACATGATAAAGATGACAAGACGAGGAATGAGAAGTTGATTCGAAGGGTTCGGGGGTGACAAAAGCAGGTGGGGAAGTTGAGTAAGTTTGGGGCTGATTTTAATTGGATACCCTTGATAACATCATGCAATCTGCTGAAACACAAGAATCGTTTAAATTTGTATTCATGGTTTACATTAAGATATAATCGCACTTCACTATATTTCCATATCACATTTAACCTTCATAACTGCTGTGTAGGATACCCAAGAAACGGAATTTGTTTTTCATTTGTATTGCACAGGTGTTTAAGTGTTGTAACTGAGTACTGTTTGTTATGGATCAGAATACTGAGAGGGTTGTGTCAAACACAATAAATTTTGCCTAAGAACATTTCAAGAGATTAAACTATTTAGTTCATGTCGTGCGTCTCATGTTGTCAAGGGAGAGAAAAGAGGGGAGTCACTGTCAGTCACAGAGACAAACAGTTTTCCTCAACTGTTCTGTCAACAACCCAAAGACTTGCCCGGTCCCTTTTCCTGAACTTTAAGAAATGCTTTCTGAATCGGATTCATTGGCAATCTGCCCAGGATGACCCTTTCTCTCCTCCGCTTTTAGGCTGACTTACAGTAGGTTCTGTCTTCCTGCAACCCTCGTAGACTATGTACATCCATCCAGCCATGATCCGAACCACCTTATCTTCACAAGGGTTGCGGGTCATATTATATTTTAAAGCTTATATCATTTTTTAAATATCATGTCAATTCATACTGTCCTAAATGTTCAACAACGGTGGTTAAACAGATCATGATTGTGAAATACACTACAGATTTCTACCTTTAAAGTCACATTAAATCTTGAAGGTTGAATTGTCACTGCGTGTGGTATCGAACCAGGGTGATAGCAGGTGTGGATTTTTCAATTCGGTTAGTTTTTAATTCGGTTTGAGTTTTATTTTTTAAATGTACCGGTACTTATGTTTGATGAGTATGTAAAACAATTTTGTTTGTTTTTTTAGGTGTAATAATTTTCAAACTACTTCTTTTGGATTGAGGTTTAGTATTAGTTTTATTTTTTTTATATATAGAATATTTGTTGAGCGCAACATAAATTTAAACAATATTGTGTAATAAACTACAAAACAACTGAACTTCCTTCTTCTGTAAGTGATGAACAGCAAGACCAAAATGAATACATTTAAAATGAACTTAAATTGTAGTTTCTGTTAGCTTTCACTTCTCTAATAGCATTTTCATTCTCATTTTATTTCATTAATGAAAATTATTATTATTTTTTTTAGTTATTTTGTTATTTTTCATCAACTTCAATAACTTTGCATCACACTAGATGAAGCAAAATGCAGAGGTCAGTGTAGCTAAAAACAAAGGATTAACTCTGTGCATGCATTGTCTTTTTTCGGTGGCTTTTTTAGACATATTCAAGCGGGAGAACCAGCAAAGGGAGTTTTGAGCTTTCGAAGAAATTAAAAGTCGGCCATCATGAGGGAACAAATTATGTTGACACTTAATGTTACACTGTTAGTGTGAATTTATGTATAAACTCACAACTAAAATAAGGAGAGCACATAGTGCTAATGAGGAAAGGTGTGATGAAATCCAGTAAGTACCAACCTTTTCATAGTATTTGATCTCGTAGTCGAGAATAATGCCGTTCGGTCTCTCTGGCTCCAGCCAAGACAACGAAACACTATTCCGTGATGTCTTCTCCTTTTTGATCACTATTACTGGAGAGGGAGCTGGGTAGAAAAACCAGAGAGAGAAAAATAGAGCATGTGAGACAGTGAGTTATCCTATATGGAGGTTCAGTAGAAGTTCAGTTGCATCCTGGCAATTGTCTAGCATTTCTGTTAGGCTAATTCAGTTTTCTGTCCAGTGGGGCCACATTAAAGGATGTAGGCTTAGACTGGGGGTTGTATACAGATGATTTACATAAAGTAGCAAGTGCAAACAACACACACACACACACACACACACACACACACACACACACACACACACACACACACACAGTTCTCATGTAAGGGCAGATAGGTAGTCACTTGAGGAAAGTGTTTAGATATCGTAATTCAGTCTAACGTGTCCATATAACTAACATATCCACCCATGTGCCATTGGAGGAGACATGATGTCTCCTCCAATCCCCAAAGAATAATTCCTGTGTCCTCATCACACGAGAGAACCATGAGTTAGAGAAGGATTATAACTTTTGAAGCATCTCATAGCTGCGAATAGAAGTTGGCAGTGGCCCTCATGATTTCTGTTACTATGGTTAATATTCCAAGACTTACAAAAACAGAATAGCAAACAGGCATTCATTCATATTCCTGAAGGGCTCCTTTCAAATCATGGTCCTCTGAGGCTCCCCTTGCACTTCTGCGTTTCTTCAGTCGATACAAATATGACATCTCTTATTTGAAAAGTCCAATGTATAAGACCATATTGGAAAAAAAAAAAATATTCTTAGCACTAAAACATGAGCAAATACAGCCGACTCGGTGTTGAAGGACTCTCTGTCAAGACACAACATGGAAAAATGTATTCGAGGCACCTGGACAACACAGAGATGGATCATATAAAATGTTGTAGCGTTACCGGATTTTTCAGACTGTAAGCCGCCACTTTTTTCCCCACGATTTGAACCCCGTGGCTTTTAATGTGACGTGGTTTATCTATGAAGTTTTACTGACTAGCTTCAAGCCATCAATATATGTACCCAAAGTATCATCCCCGCTTGTCAATGAAATTACCAAACATGTCACAGTGGAAAAATGAAACAGTCCCGAGAAATGCAGAAGTGTTTGTGCATAGCGGTACGCTGCTGTTTAGGATGGAATATAAAGGTTTAAGTATATAGCAGAGTGAAAATAAGTAGCTCAAGTTGAGTTTAATGAGCATAGGGAACGACTGCCATAAATACAGTCAACTTGGCTGCACCACCCCATCTCTCTGTTGTTTGTTTGACTACGAACTCCCATCATTGCTAGCAATGGACGAAAGGTTCAAGCGGCTAGCCACAGAGAACAGCATGTTTGGCCATGGGGCGACATCCCTTGCATCTCCCGTAACACACGCAACAACTGGGTTTCCAAAGGCTGCACTATCCCTGACAAAAAGACAATGGGTCAGCTAACTTTCTGGGTAGTTGACCCTTCCATTTTCTGGGGTTTGCTCCTTACTCTCCAGTTTTCCTCGGCAATCATTCACTTCAAGATGTTCACATGGTCCCACTCTAGTAATTTTCTGCACCCCACATGTTCTTTTTGGTCTTTCTTCACTCGGATTCTCATTTCCCTTTTTTTTTAACTGCTCTCTAATTGCCAGGGAGCTCTGGGGTTTGCTCTCCATCTGAGGCATTGACTTTTAATTTTATTAGACCACAGGAAAAAACATGTTTGTCTTTGAAATGTTCAAGCTTTGGTTGATTGCTATTGTAAAGCCACAGAGTGTGCCTTTGTGGGTATGGGTGTTTTTTTGTCTTCCCATGCATATACCCAAGTGTAAATCTGTTGGGATTTTTTTTTTCTATAACGAATCCAGATGGGAAGAATCTGTTTCCATACCGCCAACCCTTCCTCTCCCCTTGGTTGTGATAGTGGGGCAAGGCGGTGCTTTTTATTGGCACTGCGGTTTATGGTGGTAATGATTTTGTGTGTCTAAGTAGCTTAAGGGCAACTTCAAGTTCCTCGCATCATCATTTTAGGTTTCCTTTCTTTATCTCTTTCAGCTTGTCTACTGCAAAATGCTTAATTTGTTGTCTCTTGTTTTTTTCTAAGGTCTTAACTTTATGACTTAGGTGCCACAGAGAGTCAGACTGGCCTGTGGTGCCATTATTAAGTGTTTTAAATGGCACTTATAGGAATACGTAAGGACAATTGGTCAGGGAGCACATAACTCATACAGACTTAATGCGCTGAAATAATTACTAAAAAATAAATTCAAGCCTTGTAAGAATACTGACACAATAATTCAAGTATAGAATTCCCCCTGTAATTATCTAACCATTATATAATGAATAATAATAACAGTGGTGTGACGTATTTCCGGTAAAATCTCATAAGGCATCACCCTTTCTGGTAAAGGTGTCGTCGGTTCGAGTTTGAATTTCTATCACTTGTCAACATTTTAGGATAATTTTTTTCAAGATCGTTTGCATGCGTGTGGTTGCGTATATTCATCAGGAGAAAGAAGAGGAGAAGAGAGGACAGTACAGAGTTCAAGGATTATTATCTGATAGTAAAATATTGATTATTGGATGTGGTAGAGGAGACAACAGGCTCTGTATGGAGCTCCACCCCTTTGCTTGCACCCATTTACCTGAGAGTGGGAAGGACAGTACTAAGTGAACTCTGGTGGTCTCGGGAGAGGAGCTACATTGCAAAATCTACATTAAAAGATACTCACAACAGACTTTGATGATGCTCCTCCCCCAAAACGGAAGCTTTGGTACCTTGCGACATCAAACGCGGAAGTGCTGCGTGCATACAGTCCATTTAAATCAAAACTTGACTTTTTTGATAGAAAAATGCCAAGTTGACAAGCCACACTGTTCCAATAAAGCCCTACTTGTACAGCTCTATCAATTGGATCTGATTGGTGGCTGCTGCCCTACTTGGCCTCAATTCCAGTGGACTGTGCAATGAAAAGTGAAAACACATGATTGTATCCTCAACTTTATTAGGGTCCTTATCAAACCGTAATGGGTTCTCACTCAGCACCATGTGTCACCACTCACAAAGGAAATCAGTTCATAGTTTTTTTGTGTAATCCTTCTACGATGCAAGCAAATCCACATTACCTCTCATCCTCACACATTAGCACTAACTGGATGTAAGATCATTTAAATTTCTATCAAAGACTAGTTCCCTTATCAAATCAAGAGATTAACATTTGACTAAAGTCACTTATACATATTATGTCCAACTTAAATGTATGTCCAGGTAAAATGGGTGAAAATGGCGAGTGGCCTCTCTATTTAGGATCTGTGCAGTACTGTATGCACAAGCGTTTTCCCCTCTATTAGACTCAGGAGCAGTTCAAAGGGTTAGTGTTGGAATAAACTGCTTTAAATATAGATCACAGACTTAGTCAACATGACCATGAGTTGGAGGGCAAAGAGATGAGAGGAGGAATTGTATCTGACATAACTGCCCGGACACACTGCTACTACCCAGGGAAACACTTAATCCATCTTTTAACTGCTTTGGCATCTCTACGTGTGAGTAGATCAGGTAGGGCTGGCACACCGACATACTTAATCCTTGTAAACTCCCAGGGCCAAAGGAGAGTGTACAGCTGCAGGGGGAGATATTCTTTGGACTGAGACATGCTAATACAGTATGTCAGGTGGAGTGCGTAGTGTCTTTCAGCTTCAAAGTGTGTGTGTCTGCCTGCATCTTTGTGTGATTATCAACAATGTATAAAGCTAAGATCCATCTCTTCTGACAATTACTCAAAGACAGTTGTTAGTATTCAGCGCACACATAGCCCTTAGCATTGATAAGTGCACTCCAAGTCATATGCTGTATATGTTCAGAAAAAAAAAAAAAAAAAAAACTCCCCTTGACTATCCCTGCAGATTATATTTACGATAATCCCCCCCAAAAAGTTCTGCTCAACACACAGACATAAATATGTTGTTGCAAAATTCGGTGGCCCTCTCCACTTCAGTCAAGTCACACATACATGAATACACATAAACAAAAACAGAATATTTATGTGTGACGAATCCATGTCCTGTCACTTAAAGTAGGTCTGGTTCTTATCATCTATATAAGCAAACTGTGAGTCTGGGACCATGCAATGTAATTACAGCCAACATTCATCATAAATGCTTTGCAACTTTATGAGTTCACACGATCTGACTGTTGCCACACAATTCAATAGACCATAGTCTTCCCATGTGTTTGCCGCATGTGGGTCGCTAAAGGCAGGCCAAGGCCATTTTATCTGTATAGCACATTTCATATACTTGGCAACTCAATGTGCTTCACAGAAAAAAAAAGACAACACAAAAAAAAAAAAGTCACGAGAAGCTACATTGATACCATTTAAACACATTGGCAAAAATAAACCTTTAAATTTAAAAGTAAAAAAAAAAAAGAAAGAAAAGTAGGTTTCAAAAATAACTGAAAGGAAAAAAAATGATTTAAAATTGTTCAGAGTACCTTAATCAAAGATATGAGAAAAAAAGCACAGTTTTTTAACCTGGACTTAAAAACATTTAGCCTCGGGGCTAACTTCACTTCTTTTGGCAACTTATTCCATTTATGTGCAGCATAAGGGCTAAATGCAGCTTCGCTATATTTACTTTGAACTCTGGGGTCTACTAACTGACCCAAGTTGGCAGATCTACTCGGTTTATATTCAATCAGCATTTCTTTAATGTATTCAATCCAAACCATTGAGTGATTTATACTAGTGTAGTAGCAGAACTTTAAAATCTATTCTACAGGCAAATGGGTGCCAGGGTTCAGCCCTAAGGACTGGAGTAATATGTTCTGATCTCTTTGCTGTGGTCAGCTGCAGCTATTTGATGCTCATTTGAGGGAGTCCAGGAAGAAGACTGTTACAATAATCAATTCTGGATATGTGTCTCCTGGTCTGTTTGGATGGGACAAACCCTTCAGTCTAATGTGGACTCCTCCAACAATGTGTTACAGAGAGTAGTCAATTAATTGTGTATTTTATTTAGAAACTTTCCAAAAACATGTGCGTTCATTTTACCTAAGACTTCAAATTGTTTTTTGTGTGTGCCTTCTGATTGCTTGATGACCAGTCAAGGGTCTTCCACACCTCTCGCTTACGGTCATGCTGTCATGGAAAAGAGTCCAACTCCATAGAAGTATGACTGGATGACTTTGGTGTGGAAGAATTAGAGAGCGCTAACTTCACCCCTTGAAAATACATTTAGGATGAACTAGAACTGAGATTGTGAGCCAGGCTCCAATCTTCAACACCAGTGACCTCTGACCACACAAAAATTCCCATGGATACATTGTGAAATCTTGGGTTGAGCATTGAAACATTATTCTCAGCCCAAGGAAAACCAACTCTACAGTATATGTCATTCTATCTGTATTTCCCGTAGGTGAAATGGCCAACCCTTTTGTCAATATAGAGTGCATCCAAAAAATATCGTGAGTTGCCACTTTCTTGACATAAATGAGACACAATAGCTTTGAGAGATAAAATAAATGAAAAAAAAATGGCAGCTATCAGAAAAAGACAAAGTATGAAACAATCTAATGACACCTGATTAAAACAAACACCAACTATGTAGATGAAAAGCAAAATTCAGCTTTTGCATTGACTTTAGTACATTTTACAGCTGTAATGTGGAAGCACCACTTCTGTTTGCCTTCTTGTTCTTCTGAGAGCCACTGCAGATCTCAGGTTAGATGTCTTTTTTTTTTTTTAAGTATGGCAGTTTTAGGAGCCCATGGTTACTCTAAGGTTGCCTGTAAAATGGATGACATTTTCATTTCTGAGATGTCAGGCTCCAGTCATTGACCATGATTATGCTGCAGCCCAGGTTTGACTTCTAAATATCAAGCATTTATGATTGGTGTAAGTACATTTGAACATGAACATTAAATTGAAGGCTAAAGCATTAAATATAAAAGGGGAGAGAAATATTATCTTATGGAAGAGTAGTGATGATAATATGTTTGGGTATTTTTCTTTCAGCCTCTTCTAAGAGTTATCACTTCAAATGTCATTCAGGTCATGCTATATCCAGAAGGGTTGAGTCGAGACAGTGTTCAGTCCTCACGCTATTTAGATAGCGTGCAGTTTGTTAAGGCTCCTTTGTGTCTCGTGACTCCGTGCCGTCTCCCTCCTCTGTCCTGCTGCTTGTGACCCAGATATCTATCCTAGTGTGTCATCACAAAGTACAAGTAGGAGACAATTGCTGGAGGATGATAGAAAGGTATACACTTTTTGGCACCTGTGATATTTGTAAGAGGTGTGCTGCACAGCTGTAAATATACAATACAGTACTTGTTTAGACAGGACATCCTGGAGCCCCTGAGGCTGCTTGGTCTCAGAATTGAAACAATAACAAAAAAATGGCAATACCAACAATAAATAAGAAAAGCTACAGACACCTTCCCATATCTGCGATAACAACCACAGCAAAAAGTAAATAAGGTCTTGCAAAATAAATTAAACTGGGCTTGTAATGTCAAAGCAATATTACCTCTTCAGTAGTTGCAGCCACCATTACAAATATTAAAGCAACGTGTGGGCCACATGCCCCACCAAACACAGCAAGTCTTTTATTGCTATTCATTCTTTAAGACCACGATTTTACCAAAATAACTTCAGTGACGTATTGCTTCCCTGTTTCTGCCCCTTATAAGCATTGGACTAAAAAAGCTTCCACGTTTGAGAAACAATAAAAAAAATAAAATAAAAAATAAACATCCGTCTTCCCTTCTTTTGCATGTCCACTTTGATACAGATGGATGTCACACAACTTTAAAACACTTAATACAGTGTATACTGAGTTCATACTATATTAGAGACCCGGTAAGTTGTTCCACCCGTGCATTGTTTGTCTTGTATCCTGCAAACAACTGAATTGCTTTCTCGACTCAATGGTGATTGAGTCTTCATGGTTGTATCAATTGGGCAGCTATTGTTCCAAGTGGGTACTTCCTGCATGCATCAATGGGAGGTTTGCAACCCATTTCCTCCCAAATCATTCAAACTCATGTCCTTATACGTGGCAGCCAAAAAGGCTGCAACACCCACCTCCAATAATGGCGTTGATGTGGGTGTTTTAGGTGAGTTGAGGGATAAGTCACATTCCTGACCGAGGGTCTTGGCTGGATGTAATTGAAATACAGACATTTGATTGTTTTGACCACTGAGAAAAAACCTTTATGCTCCCAATGAGTATGTTAAAACAATTGTTTTGGCAAAACGCAGCTTCTCTTGCCCCAACCTTTCATTCCAGACAAGCCTTCAAGAATAACTGCCAGATTGTGAATCCTCTGAAAACTTGTACAAATGTTTGCTTTGTGATTGTTTTCATTGGTGGTTATGTTTCTCTTTTGTGAAAGGATGACTTTTGTCATTTCTTTCATTTATTTTCTTTGGTGTTCTGAGTGTTCGCAGTGGATTGCTTTCTTTACACCAATAGTTTCCTTCATTGCTTTTATTTTTGTTTCAAGGTCTTTGATCATAGCCTTATTTGGACTGTGGCTGTTAGCAAAGCTGAATTTTGTTGTTGGCCTTACTGTACTATACAGTATATATGAACATACATTATAAGAGAAATAATTTTTAATGGGCAAATGTGTGCAAAATGGTACGGTGGGCGACTGGTGAGCACGTCAGCCTCACAATGCAGAGCTGCAGGGTTCGATTCCAGCTCCGGCCTTCCTGTGTGAAGTTTGCATGTTCTCCCTGTGCCTGTATAGGTTTTCTCCGGATACTCCGGTTTCCTCCTACATTCTAAAAAAATGCATTGAACGCTCAAATTTTCCGTGGGCGCGAATGGTTGTTCGTCTCAGTGTGCCCTACGATTGGCTGGCAACCAGTTCAGGGTGTCCCCCGCCTACTGCCCAAAGACACCTGGGATAGGCTCCAGCACACACACGACCCTCATGAGGATAAGCGGATCGAAAAATTGGTGGATGGATCAAGTGCGTGCAAAACTGTCAGTACATAAGCATTCTAAAGTTAAGTAGTCACAAGTTTCATATGTTACTACTTGTGGGGTTTTGAAAAACAATAATGCTTTGCAATGTGTTTTGGAAAAAACAATAACCTAGTTTAAGATTGATAGACAAATACATTTTGGCATGCTTGTGAAATGCACCCCAGCACACATTGCTAATGTGGAAGCAGAATATTTGACTGGTATTATCTACCATCTGTTGTAACATCTCACCGGCTTGATTGGTGGTAATGGTGACAGCGGCATACTGCCTCATCTTGGGCGCCAGTGACGAGACTCCATTCTGTGCCTCAATCTCAAACGTGTAGTTGGTGTGAGCTAGCAGGTCTCCTACTGTCACGGTGGTGTTTTGGAGGCCCGTGGCCCTTGGAAGAAAGCGGACATTGCTTCGGCAGGGCTCACATCGCGGGCTGCCACCATTGCTTCCATTTGCGGCTCCGGCCCGACATCGTTTGCAGAGGACAGTAAAGGTGAGGTCCCTGCGGCCACCTGTGTCCTCTGGCCAGCTCCAGTCTAGGATAACGGAGGTCTCGTTGATGGAGGAGATAACGTTACGAGGAGCGGAGGGAGGGCCTGGTGGTCAGAGGAGAGGACATGAAGTGGAAGTGAGAAGACCAGGAGGTCATTGGATACACAGGATGAGAAAAGGAAGCAAAAGCAGAAGGAAAGTGAAGTCATGAGATGGGGGGAGGGGGGGGGAGAGCACAAAGAAAATGGCATTTAATGGCAAATGGCAAATCCACTAACCGCCATTTTATGAGTGCGATGTAAGCCAATACATCAGCTCAGCAGTTCTGAATTCCACTTTTACAAGGCCTGGCTTTTTACAGTTTGTGTTGGCAACAACTGAAAAGGTCATAATCTGTAATCTTTATTCCTGGTGTAAAAGTAGACCGTGGATTGTAAAGCAGTGTTATGTACAAAATGATTATTCTGACTGATTGTTTGTAATTGTCAATTATTGTATTTTAATCTTTGCATTGTAATTAATCCGTTCAGGTTCATGATCACTAAAAACAACAATGTGGCGTACGGTTAAATGTCACAGGCACCAATTGCTTTTCTGTTTTGGCTGATGATGCTTTTAAATGTCAAGGCCAACTCTAAAGATCCTCACCCGCACCTCTTTAAATGATTAATCATTTTTAGTTGCAGCCCTTGTACCGCTCTGTCTGCCCAAAAGAGAGAAAAGCTGGCCAGCTGACCAGATGGTGTTTAAATAATAATAGCCTGTCATGACAGGTCTTCTAATTAGAATTCTGTCCATTACTGAGAGTGTCCTTTTATATGTTCAACTGTGTTCCTGCAATTGGTGAAACATGATAAATTACTTTTCTCTCTCAGTCCTTTGGTCATAAATTAATACGTAATCAGACATCAGCGAATGGGCTGATTTATAGTTTCTTGGGGAACGGCTTTTGGAAAGCTTGTAAGATGAATCTGCAATCAATGTGCATCAGAGGAGGACAAACAGAATCATGTCGGCAGGAGAAAGGGTGATTCAGACCAATAAACATTTGCAACTTGAATGACCCATGAATTCATTACCACTGCCTTCGAAGTTGAATTGATGTGGTTTCCTGTCAACAGCTTTGAACCTGTCAACTTGGGTTTTCGTTTTAATGATAGGTCAATATTTTCCAAGATATGGTCTCAATAAATTTGGAGACAATTTACACATAAATGAAACCAAATCCCCCCCCCCCAAACTGGGATAAAAAAAAAAGGTTCAGAAGCTGTCTGGCCAATCTCTACGCTGCAAATTGAACAGCAATTCGAAGTTAACATTGCAAATCACAATGTGTTTACACACTAACATCTTCGATAAGATAATGTAATAATGATGGCCCGAACTGATATTCTTAAATCTGTCCATAGGTAGTTATAGTTTTGTCAAATGCTTTATTTTCCCACATTACACAACATTACCTTCATTGTACAATTTGATGTAGAAAAATTGTGCACGATAACTCAGAGCGAGAAACATCTGAAAGCATTCAGTTCATCAAAGAACACTAACGTGTATTGACAGTCAAAATAACAGGGAATTAACTCCTCAAGGCAGGGTGAAGATGTGTTTTATTTAATATTTTTATTGCTGCTGAAAAAAAAAAATCCTCCCACCCATATCATAATTTTTCTACTGTGAGACATTGGGAGGCACCGGTTATAATGAGATGATCACAACCTGCATCCCATCAGTTTGATGTGCAAACGTTCCTACTTACGTGTACAGGCCATGGAGGCTGGGTCTCCCTCGGCACGGAAGTAGTTTTTCTCACATCCGCAATGCAGTGACCCTTCATGGTGAGCATAACTATGAGGTGGACACTTGGAGCACTCCACGTTTCCCAGTGTGGACTTGTAAAAGCCACCCCGGCACACTGGGGAGGAAACAGAGATAGAGACATTAATGTCATGCAGAAGGAGCCCATCAGCAGCAACGTCAGAGATAAACTCTCCTCCACAGCACCCAAAGTATAAGGAATGAAACTTGGGTGGTGTCTAAAACACGCACATGCAAACAGGAGCATGCCCGTTACAGCACAATGTATAATAATATCCTTCAATGTAGCAATAACTCTATATCTCCTTCTATGAAACACTTCACTAAATTGTCTCAATTAATTCCATCTTTGCTTTTTAGAAAACATCGCATTAAGTAGGCAAATTGTCCACTCATTAAAATAAGGCTCATTGTATTAATTTTTTTGTAAAGATCATCACAAATGCTATATGTGACAATGCAACTTAGGTACTAACTACTGCTTGTTTTTGTCCTAGTGATCAAGTGTGTTTAAAGCTACACATATATACAAATAAATACCAAATTGAGTTAAAAGTGCATTCATGCTGTACTTTCAAGTGCTGCCAAAATCCCATGCCATACTATGATATCAAATGCAAAAAAAAAAAAAAAGAAAAGAAACATGTGAGACCCGCAAACAATTTTAAAACAAATTAAAAGAGATTGAAACTGACACAACTGAACATGTTCAAACACCTAGTCAGAAATACAACAGTACCAGCAACCGCAGGAAAGCTAGCAGAATATGTTGGCTCAGCAGAACAACACCCTCCTGCAAAAGCCGGTGACACTGCCCATACCACGACTACCTTATCCATCACTGACACTGGCACGCCAAGGTCCCAATTCTGCAGTAAACACTCCACTACATCCAGCCGGGTGTGTAATTCTGAGTGTGTGTGTGTGTGTGTGTGTGTGTGTGTGTGTGTGTGTGTGTGTG